GCTGTATGTGGGACCCGGCCTCAGGATGAACGGAGAAGTGGTGCCTCGATGCGCACCCGGGATCCGAACCCGGGCCACCAGCATCGCAGCCCGCGCACTTAACCACCAAGCCACAGGGCCGGCCCTTGAACTTCTTTTTAACGGTAGGGAATAAGGTAACAGAGTTCTCCTGCACGGTGAAGCTTTCTGCAAACACCAGAAATGATACATCACACAGCAATAATTTTGTTGATAAAATTTAAACGAATCTGCTCAAATTGTTATTTTTAGTACAAAAGTTAAAGATTAGACTATACTTCTGTTGATGGATTTTGCAAATAATGTTTATGGAGGTTCTTATTCCCCTCCTAATGGCACTGATTAGTACTTTGGATAGAAAAGCAAGACAAGGTGAACCTTAAAAGGAATACTGCTTCTAGTTTTTAATGAGTACTATTTGTCAAGGAAATGGGAAAAATAGAATAAGAAGGCCTCTTATTAGAATCATTAAGATTCTTTTTTAGAAGGTGCTATCAGTAAGTGCAAAGTAGTCATAATGTAAGGTCCATTTCCTGCCAGTAGTACACCTGCCAAATTTGGCAATTCAAAGGAATAGTACATTAGATATTGATTTTGAAATTATAACAAACAGTTGCAGGGAGCAATGTTTTAAAATGTTGGTGTAATTAGTTTAGAGTAATTTTTGTGTTCATTATCAGAACTTTAAATTCTGATTTGGTTTTCTCTTTTTCCTAAGTCAGTTTCCTGTGTGTTTTATATACACATAAAATCACAGAATGTTAGCATGGGGTGGGAATACATCTCGTCAAATTTTACAGAAGAGGCAACTGAGGCTCAGAGAGGTTGTGATTTGCCCAAGGTCACACAGCTAATAAGTAACAGATGTGGGGATAGAATATGACTCTGTGTGGAGTTGTCTCCTTTATAATTTAGGTGTCAGGGGATGGGGATGAATGCTCAATTTCTTTATATCTTTCCTGTTGGAGAGTACTTGCATTAATAGTGGGAGGACTCTGTTCAGGACTCTTTTGAAGAAATCTGTAAAACAAGTACTCATCCCGAAATTCATATTCATTGGTGATATGTTGGATGACTCCCCCTTGTACCAGTCTGTCTCCATATATCACAGCTTCACCACGGTCAGAGGCAAGGCCGACTTCAATTAGCCAGTTCACCAGGTCACAGCCACAGAAGGTCCCAGCAGAAGTCTTTGCACCACACCTGTATGTCAAAGGAATGATTCACCCATATGCTCTGTAAATCTGGTATCAGCACTGCATGATAGAGGACAAGCAGGGAAAAATAGGAGACAGGGAAACACAGCATGGTAGTTAAAAGTGTGGCAGGAATGAAACTATTGTGAATATAAAGGGTTAGTTAACTCACCTGACCCTAGAAAGACCCAGCGGAGAAAGATAAGCCAATAATGCTTGTGAAAACAGAAACACTTACATAAAAAAATGACTTAGATGATGTAAATGCATCTACAAATAAATATTCTTTTTATAGTAGGTGGCCTTTTATGATCAGATCTATTCTGTAGGTAGCTGAATGTTATATATTTTATAAGTTATACTCCTCTTAGTTATAATAAGTAATTATATGTCTCAGGAACATTAAATAATATTTTTTACAAGCTCTTAAGAAGTGACTATTTTTACTACACTACTCAAATCAAACTTTCTATTTTCTGCTTATCACAGTACCCACAAATAGCCTTTTCTCTTGCCCTCAGCAGCCAAGACAATCTTACTGATATATTTGTCAGGAATTTGCTACATTAGGAAGCGAGGAAAAAATGTGTGAGATCTGTTTTACCACAAATCTAAGATTTTTTTAAATGTACTTTGATTATGAATCTACTTCTTAATTATTTAAAATTTGTCTTCCTAATGCAAATATGGGGTGCCTCAGGTATGAACAAATAAACAAGGGAAAGAGAAATGTGAAAAAAACCCCAATTAAATGAATTCTGTACATTTTCATACAAATATGCAATAGACAACATAAGCATCTGTCAAGCTGTAAAATCTAAAATGCTTGACAATAGGAAACGGTGGATGAAAATCAAGATGAAATGAGAAATAGTTGACAAAAATTTTAACCACAAATGAATATACATTAGAGTTTCATATAAAAATTAGAAAAGAGGTTAATACACATGAAAAATTTTCTCAAGTACATAAAATCATAATATTTTAACATCACTGTTTTACTTAGTAATAAGATACTTTAATTTATGCTTTGCAACTACAAATATCACTTTCAACAAAAGCCTGAATATTACAACTTGTGTCTGAGCCTTCTTCCTCCTTGTTGATTTTTAATTTATAGCCCAACACCTTCTATCCCAGACACCTACAGAATAATATTTGCTTCCTGATGACTGATCAGGCAGGTATGACCACAGTCCATGGAGCTGTGCAGAGTGGCAGAGAATGTGCCACCACCACCGGCCAGTGCCCACTCAGCCATCTGGGACTGAGGCAGCCTGGCAGCCCTGCAAATGGCAAGAGCTGTGCTTCCTGACAGTTGGCAATCACAGGGGGCCTGGCGGAGCTAACGTGGAGTTCCCTTTTTTAATTTTAAAAAGCAGTTTTAAATTGTTGTAACTATCCATAGATGGTACTTTGAAATAATTGTGTTTGGCTCTTTAAGGGTGGGAAATGAACTTTTCTTCAGTTTGTCATTTTCAGAAACTGGGCTATACCCATCATATAGACTTTTTTCCCCCTGAGGAAGATTCACCCTGAGCTAACACCTGTGCCAATCTTCCTCTGTTTTGTATGTGGGTCACCACCACAGCATGGCTGATGAGTAGTGTAGGTCTGCGCCCAGGATCCAAACCCACGAACCCAGGCCGCCAAAGCGGAGTGCGCCAAACTTAACCAGTAGGCCACGGGGCCGGCCCCCCATCATATAGATTTTGTCATCTAATTCAAACAACCCTGAGAGCAAGATATTTTAAAGAAGAGGAAAACCAAGGTTTGGAGAATTGAACTTGCCCAATGTCAAACAGCTAGTAAGGGGTATATCCAGGAGTTGAGTTCTAATATTAGTCCCCACCCAGTGAGTCCCCTTGCCATGAGCTATCCCAGGCTACCTTCTGGTTATAATGAAATATAATGGCATAATATATGTCAATAACCCATCCTGAGTGGTAATTTTCATAAATTTTCAGTTATAGACATAAAAGTATTTCATTCTTTATGCTTTGTTTTGTTATTTTCTCTTTTATGACAACTAAAAATATTGGCACTATAACATTTTATTCATTTCCTGTTGCATACTCCATACCTTGAGGATTTGAAGAAAAAATATGATGCCACAAACTGAGGATTAGGACTTGAGGTGAAAAGTAAGCAGCAGAATGAGCTAAGAGACAGAAATTTCATTTCATTTTCTTGACAATATCATTAGTAATATGAAATAACATACCACTAGGAGATGGGGAATATAAAATCACTTCTAAATCCAATGTGTCTCAGAGTTTATGGGAGACACTAATGGCCAGCATGAAGTGAATGTTAATATTCTACATTTTGGTTCATTCTAAACTAAAGTTTTCACATTTTATATGGAAATTGGAAGTTATATGACATTTAAAAAATATAAAAATCAAAGTGATATGGCACTTATATATGCTGTTTTCTTAAACTACAAACTGACCTATAGCTATTTTAACTTTTACACGTATTGTGTTATTGAAAATAACAATCATGTAGTCACAACCACATTACTTAGCCTGTTACAAACCAAAATTAATTATCTAAAACATAATTACTGGGAACCTGTACTTACCTTCTTTCCTTGACAATGTTTCGCATACAGAGGTCACGGTGATAATGGATAAACTGTTGACAGGTCATTTTTATTTCCTCAGGAACAGGAGAATCCCTGTTTTCTGCTGTTTCTTTATTGTTCCATAGGAATTCAAGTCTGAAGACCAAAATGTAAGGAGGCCATTTTTAAGGAAGGAAAAGCACTGAGAGAGAACCCCTTCCTGCTTATTGCCCCATCAACATGGCTCTTCCAGAGCCATCCTTTACCAAAGCTGTCATTGACAATTCCCAGGCGTCATGAGTCTCTGAAGCAGAAATATTCTTAACCTGCATGTGGTTTCCTGTTCAAAGCAGGCTGGGGTGGGGGTAAGGTGGGGTGGGGGACTTGAAAATTTGATCAACCCTCCAGACATTTGACCCATTTCATTTTCCACCAAAAAATGAAGTTCCTTAGTCTACATTCTACTATTTTAAAACGCAAAAATAACTTACAGGTCAAGTATTTTATTTAATCATTTTCTAATTTCAGTACCAGAGAGACAAATATTGTGATCTGGAGTACAGAACATTTCTGTTTCTGCCAGCCTAGACAATAGATCTGTTGACTCTTTTAACTGATCAACATTATGAAACTGATAACTAAGTTCAATGACTTTCCTATTATGTTTTTCTTTCCTCATGAAAGGATTGTGACCCTAACAACTACGTCTTAATGATGATGATGTTAATGATGATGAGAAAGAAAGAAGTAAGAAAGAACAGTTACCATTTGCTGGGCCCTTTTTATGTAGTGGGTAGGATAAATTCCATTAGCCCTTCTAGTTTCTCCTAATTTTGACTTTGAAAACAAAGGAGGAAATACAAGGATTTGCACCCCCACTTCTTCCCACCATCAAGTTGGAGTATTCCCACTTCATTATTTTTCATAACGAAATTCCTGATCTGAATTCAAAGAACTCTTCACCAAGCTAATAAAAAACCCAAAAATTTAGAAAGAAGAAAATTTGAGTTTTCTATAAATTATTAGTTTAATAGAGAAATCCTGTCATCAAAGGAGAAAGACAATCAAATACAGACCTTTGGGGGCACACCACCTACGACTTGCATTTCTAAATACATTTTCAAGTTTTATTTTACTTTGAAAAACCACAGGCCCAAAATGGCATCACTCATGATCAAAGCCCATGACACCAGACTTAATACCTGATCTAACTGGACTTTCAACCTCTCCCAGAAACGTCATCTTAATTGACCAGTCCAGAATTTTCTGGTCAGCACCTACCATCCAGTGGGCCCTCTCCATCCCCCAGAGGAAGAAGAGGCAATCTGCATGATAAGACCCTTGCCAGTCCCTTCCCCCCTAAAAAAAGAAGTTCTGGTCTAAAAATAACCCTTTCTTGGGCCGGCCCCGTGGCTTAGCGGTTAAGTGCACGCGCTCCGCTGCTGGCGGCCCGGGTTCGGATCCCGGGCACGCACCGACGCACCGCTTCTCCGGCCACGCTGAGGCTGTGTCCCACATGCAGCAACTAGAAGGATGTGCAGCTATGACATACAACTATCTACTGGGGCTTTGGGGGGAAAGTAAATAAATAAAATTATAAAAAAAATAAAATAAAATAACCCTTTCTTTTCTTTTCCTAACAGCTCCCCTGCCCCATCCTTCTTCCTATAAAAACCTTCCATTTTGTACAATTCCTCCCAGCATCCTGCTAGTTGCCAGATGGGATGCTACCAGATGAATCGCCTAATAAAGCCAATTAGATCTTCAAATTTACTCTATTGAATTTTGTTTTTAGCAACTTTATGCAGTTAATGGCATAGATAGAAGTCAGTGTCCATCAATTCTTATTAAAATGCAAATTACAATGTTGGATTAATAACAGTTCTTCCAATATTTTCTCTGCAATTATTTACAACAAATATATGAATCAACAGATAACCTTTCTGTGGTCTCCTAGTAGATACTAACGGTTTAAAAATATCACTATCTTAATAGAATGGTTTTGCCATCATCTTTATGAATATAGATTTATTTCAAAACTAAATTTACCTTCTTTTGAAAGGTAGGATGATTAAATGTTTGTCCAATCCAAAGATTCCAAAGGAAATAAATCCCTATGGAGGAAAAAGGAATTATATTTTATGAATTCAACAATAAAATTTTAAGACAGAGAAATTATGGAAGCCACTAAATTTAGTGCTTGTGGAAGCAAACCTATAGTGATTAGAGCAACATTTTAAATGGAACACACAAGGCAGGCCTCTGAAGTTCAGTGCCCAGAGGCAGCTATGATACTTGGCTGCCTCTTCCCAATCATCTGTCCTACTAACTATGATAGGTGACACACACCAGTGCTGGGGGGCCACATTTGTATGCTAGCTTTCTGAAAAAGAAAGAGAACACATAAGGGCTATATGTCTTTGTTATCCTCTTTTTAAAAAGAAAATAATGTATCTCCCATTGGGCTTAAGTAATTCTTTATTATTTTTCTGTTAAAACTTCAGAAATTATAGAATTTAAAAGTGCTGTGATATCTGAATATAATGCAGTAACTGAACAAAATTTATGTGAAATGAAATAGACTAGTGGTTAGGCAAAGGGTTTGAAGAATTTGGGGGTGATGAGGCAAATCAGCACCAGACAGCAGCCACAGATCAGGATGGTTAGGATTACTGGGGGAGACAGGAGGTTGGGAGGTGCCATGCATCGGGCACAGTGGGATAAGGATCTACGTGCAGGTTGCTGGAGGTGGGATAAGAATGCAATATATTACATGAAGGACCTACCTTTCTTCACCCCTAAACTAGCAACAACCGAAAGGGAATGATCTTACGACACCACCTCCCTGAGAGGCAGATGGGATGGGAGTGGGGGTTTGTATCACTCTCCATCCTTTGAAAGCACTTGAGCCATAAGCTGTGGAGGCAGCATTTCAAAGGTAATGTTCCTGGCATTAGCCTCTGTTTGTGAAGCTTTCGCAGTCCCAGTCCTGGGATGGCCCAGCTTGGAGTCGGCTTTCTGAATGCAAAATGCTGAAGAAGACTGATTGTTCAACCTAGTATTTGATAGTTCTTGGGTACAAAATCAAACATTAAACAGTATCACAGAGCGAGGTGGGCATCAAGTGGCCCTTGGGGTGTGCATGTCTGTCTGTAATAAACTGATGAGATCACTTGTCTGTCTAGACATAGCCATTTTTGCTCCCACAATAATGGCAAAACACACTGGAAATATTTCAAGAAATTACTGTTAGGGAAAAACTTGCTGGAGCATCTTCTGATAAATGTTAACTAACTCATATGGCCGATTATTTCAGGTTTAATAGTCAAACCCAGTGATTTCAACCACAGTATTTTTTTCAACCTGATACTTAATCTGGGGACTAATGTTCGCTAATTAAAAAGTAAGGGATTGGAAGATAGAATCAAATTTTGAAATTTGCACGTAAGAAATATTTTCCCAATATGTAAATTGTCATTTATCCTTAAATATCCATTTTAATAGTGACATAAACAAAGACAACAGCACCTACCATATTAGTGCTTTGTGGAATTTTAATGTTTAATTTTTAAACTGGGGATGATCATGTCTACTTTGCAGGTATTATTGTGATGTTTAAATGAGATAATTAATGTAAAATGCTTAACAATGGTTGGCATATAGGAAGTAGACTCTCAAGGAATGGTAACTACTATCCCTGGTCAAAATTTATTTATATGCCACATGATTTCTTAAAAATATTTAAGTATTTATTGTTCAAGAAATATAGAAATGTAAATGAAATGATGTGCATCAATTTAAGTGGCTAAACTAAAGGCTCAGAGAAGGTAAGTCATTTTCCCCAAGTAACTTATTAAGACCACAACAAAGTTTAAAAAGAACTTGGAACATCTTGTCCCTGCTTAAATTATCATTCTTTATCTCAAAACCAAAGCAAAACTATTTGGTATTTCTGATTGAAACACTCAGTGTGCATTCTGATGACTTTAACCAATATACTAATTCATCTCTACTAGAAGATAGGCAGCAGCTGTCAGCTGTCACACATACCAGCAGCTGGCAAACAAACTAAACCCTTTTGATTTAAAAGAAAACAACAACATCCGCACCCCCCCCCAATCAACCCATCCAGGAAAACAAAAACCCCTCAAAGTTCTCCATAAATAAATACCTGGCCAAAGTTAAACACAGCACAGAAAAACTGTAACTCAACATATAGTCTTCCAGGTTCTCGGTTGAACAGCCACCATAAACAACTGGAAAGATTCTGTAAAGGAAAGAGAAAATAGTATTTTAAAATGAAGCAAGCTAACTATTTCTCTCTATCCAGAACACAGTACAATAACTTATCTACTTAATAATTGGGGAAAAGACTAAAAAGAAAAACATGGAGAGAATATAGACGCTTTGTCTTTCGAACAAGAGATTTCAACCTCTCCTCTTGACAGATGTCATTCAAACAGCATCTATTCTGATCAGATTTGAAGCAAGAAGACATGAGCCATAATACAGAAGCTTACATAATGTGTCAGGACTACCGACTAGCCTAAGACAGGACTGATTTTAAAATTAGTTCTACACAATGAAAACAATCACATCACTAAGAAGCAATTCTTGGTAGCATTTCTTACTTTTTGATTTTTGTTCATAAACAGCAGTTAAAATGGTGCTGGCTGATATCATTCTATGTAATAAGCATCCCAGTATGAGAAGGGTAAGATGGTTTCTTCACAGGTTATACAGTCCATCTCCCATCTCTATGCAAGGTACACTTGAACCATCTCAAAGAATTATATAATAATAACTGATAATTCACAAAACAGGACATAAAACTAATTTTAAAAAACCCTTTAGGAATCAAAGAAATGCATTTGAAAAATGAAGTGCTATATTTCACTTATAAAATTAAAAAATTTATAATATTCAATGCTGGTGAGAGTACTTTAGAAATCTATACAACTCCTTTGGAAAACAATTTAGTAGAATGCATCCAAAGGCATAGAAATATTTATACTCTTTGATCCAGGTTTCCCAGCTTTGAGAATCTACCACAAGACAGATGATATACTGCATGGAGATGTTTATTAAAGCATTTAAAAAAATTAGGAACAATCCATAAGGAAGTGGTTGAGTACATTATAATGTATCTCCTTTATGGTTTATTGAGGAGCCATTTAAAGTAACGGTTATGAACACTCTGTAGCAACATGAAAATGCTTGACACAAGTCACAAAGCAGGATATAAACCTGTATGTATTGTTAGAACCATGAAAAATGTATTAAAAAATAGAAGACAGTAGGATGATGGATATTTTTCCTCTTTTCTCTATTTTGTAAGTATCTATTGTATGAAGTGGTTATGTTATTTTCATAATTTAAAATTATTTTTAAAAGTTTATTTATCTGAGGAATATCTTCTGAGAGACCATGTAGGCATGTATGTGCTGAAGTCGTCAAGGAATACGTTGGGAATAAGTGGCCCTCCATACAACATGAAAGATACCAGAGAATGAGTAAGTGATTCTAAGCAAAATAAGCGATTGGAGCACTTAGGCAACAGAGTAATGTGAATTATCCATTCTCTTTTCCCCCCAAAACATTTAGCTCAAGATTAGGAGTCAGATGGCCTAGCTGCCACCGCCCTGGGAAGTAGCAACTAAGTTTCTCCCAGATGCCTGAATAAAACCTTTGGCAAACATTTAAAGATATGGCCCCAAAACAAAATCAGAAGAAACATTTACAGCAAACATGCCAATAATGAGAAGTAAACACAGCAACACATGTCGAGTCAGTTGCTGGTCTCCACTCTGTAGATACTGTTCTTCTTCCTGGGCTAATATGCAGCTCTGGGAGTTACAGCGACTCACACAATGATCATCTACAAAACAGTAAGCACAACAATTTGTAATCAGAGCTTTTTATTTGAATGCATTTTAAATTCATAATGACTTCCTAAGCAAACGACCACATATGCACATTCAGCTCAGAATCAGTATATTATTTTAGATGAAATCCGAGGAAGTCTCCTTCATGTTGTTTCAGGATAATGCTACTTGTTGTGTTTTTATCTGAAAAAATATGAGTAGTATAGTTTCTTTCTACACTAGTCAACAATGTAATACATATAATATAAAATATAAATATATATATATTTTAAGGCTAAATAATTCAAGTTTCACCTGTGATAACTCTACATATTGGTCATGAATATGCTATTTTGGCTAACTATAAAACAAATTTACTACTACCCCTTGCCTTTCATTTTTTGTTGTTAGTGTCCTCGGGTCTATTCCGACTCCTAGTGACCCGGTGGAGAGCAGAGCAGAACCCTGCCGGGTCCTTCTGCGCCATCCTCTCACCTTCCAGCACTATATCAGACAATGCTCCACTGCTGTTCACAGGGTTTTCATGGCCAGTTTTTTCAGAAGTGGGTGGCCAGGTCCTTCTTCCTAGTCTGTCTTAGTCTGGAAGCTCCACCGAAACCTGTCCACCATGGGTGAGCCTGCTGGTATTTGAAACACCGGTGGCATAGCTTTCAGCATCACAGCAGCACGCAGCTGCCACAGTGTGACAACTGACAGATGGGTGGGTGGTGTGGTTCTCTGACCAGGAAATGAACCCAGGCCGAGGGGATAAGAACACTAAATTTTAACCACTAGACCTCCAGGGCTGGCTTGCCTTTTATTAAAGAGTTTAAAATTTACCTTAGAAAAGACCTTTAAGGAACCATATAAAAAATATTATACACTTTGTTCTGTTCACCTATGGAACCAAGTCCAAATCACAGGCATGACTTTTCTGACCTAAAACAGAGGTGAGGGGCCTTTCACAAGAGACCTTTGTTTTCCTACCTCGGCCCCACTGTATATATGGCATCAAAAGCAGGGGAAAATGTTGTTACCAAATAGATGTCTAGACTAATATACAGTCTGATTTTAAAAAGTCATGATAAAAAAAAATTTATAGCTCTTACCCTCAAGCTAACAATAACAATTTCTATTTCCTAAGGCCTCGTTGTAGAAAAGAACATATACAACTGTTAAACATGGTCTAGCGTAATGGCCAGTGGCATGGGGGAAGGTTCACAATGTTGCTAAGTAAAAAGAAAGGAGGCTGCCAAACTGTCTCTGTGTTTTGATTCTATTTTAATAAAAATTATTTGTGTGTATCTTGGTGTAGAAAAATTCTAGCAGTATATATAACAAACCTGGTCTTGGGGGCCGGCCCAGTGGTGCAGGCGGTTAAATGCGCACACTCCGCCGCGGCAGCCTGGCGTTTGCCAGTTCAGATCCCAGGCGGGCACCGACACAACACTAGTTAAGCCATCCCGCAGTGGCATCCCATATAAAGTAGAGGAAGATGGGCCCGGATGTTAGCCCAGGGCCAGTCTTCCTCAGCAAAAAGAGGAGGATTGGCAGATGTTAGCTCAGGGCTGATCTTCCTCACAAAAATAAATAAATAAACCTGGTCTTAAAATATTATGTATAGATATTACAAAAATGGATAAAAATAAATTTTGCTATCTTTCATTTACCTTTTTTTACACATGGCAATATTTATTTTGTCTTTGTGCTGTGCCAGTGTTTTGGGGGTGAGGAATTAATTATATTGTTAAACTCCCCAAATTCTCATTTGGCCATGGTTTGATTTCCATTAGACTTTCTTTATTTCAGGCTTAGGAATAATACTAAATTACATGAGCAGATGAAGTCCATATATGATGGCTCTCATTCTATTTAATTTTTGTGAAATGTGATCAGAAAATCTAAGAAGCCCCTACAGTTTAAAAGACTTTTCAGGAATCAGCATTATTAATGAAGAAAATGACAAAAAAAGCAAAGCATAAGGAGATTTTGGAAGGCCAAAAAAAAAGCTGTTAAATCAAACTACACGTTGAATTTGCCAATGGACTTTACTACTAGGTATATTGTGTAGGGAGAAAAAAATAAGGAGGAAAGCCTTGGGAATTCTGATGTAAAGAAACATTAGTTTAGAAAAGTGGTGCACAAATTAAAACTGAAAGACAGTTTTACTAAATGCCAAAAGGGGTTTCCTACCAGAAAGTCAGTGAAGGCCCAACATCTGATCTACTTATATTTCCTTCTATGCCACTATGAATGCTACTATTTAAGATTCATCCTTAGCCAGCAGATAGCAGCCAAATACAAACCCTGCCTGAATGATAACAACAACCACTGCTGCTACTACCCTGTTTAATGAGCATTTACCACATCCACCACACTCTGTGCAAGTGACCTGCATCCATCATTTCTTATCAACCTCACACTTCTTACATAAAAACATAATGCCTTTGGCAACAAATCAGGTGATGTATGCTTCATCGTAAAGAGGGCTTTTTGGAGTTTCCCTTCCCAGGTTGATTATAAATAAGCACAATTAACTGAAAGTGCATTGCAATTTCACATAAGTGTGTTCAGTTGTTTTAAATAATTTGAAATTTAGACCACATATGTAATTTAGTCTCTTAGTCTATATGCCAAATGGTTATTACTTTTAAAGATTTTTCTTATTTTATAAGAGAGGGTATCTTTAAAGTATATGGATTCAAATGTAATTAAGCACTAATTAATTGGTCCTGGCTCTGGAGGAAGGGAGTGGGGGAAAAGTCTCAGCTTCCAAAATAAGAAAAAAGGCCAAAAACACAATGGTGCTTAGGGCAAACTTCTTGGAATTATCACTTGGGTTAAATTTAGTGAAAAATTTATGTGTGTGTGTGTGTGTGTGTGTGTGTGTGTATAATACTACCAATTACTACATTTTGAGAATTTTATGTTTTCTTAAATTAGTATTCTATCTATGCATGATTATTATCCTATGAGCACTTTCTCCCTTCTTATCTGAGAATACATAAACAGTGTAGCTTCTATAGAAATAGGAGAGTTCTTTTAAGGCATAAGGATAAGGAATCTTCTGTTCCTCAGGCCCATCCTCATAGCCCAGAAGCACTTACTTTTCTCAAATGAAGGAGTCACACGCCCACTGGTGCTTGTGTTTGCTACTGGCTCTGTGGATGGACAGTGTAATTCACCATTTCCTATGGAGCAGGCACAGCAACCTATACAGATAAAATACCATGTGAGGGTAGAGCCCAACCACACAGAAATGGACAACTTCAAGAGATCCCAAACCAAACCAAACCAAACCCAAACCAAACCAAACAACAACCCATTCATACACACACACACATTTCCCATGCAGCCTCAATGGAAATGTTCTCATATGGTATCTATCAAAAAGTATTCAAATGTGCTTATAGAAGTTAACATTCAAAGAGTGACAGACAAGGTATCAGCTCCTTGACATATTGTCTCCTCATTGTGAGACAAGGAAAGAAGTTTTGTTTGTTTGTTTGTTTGTTTGTTTTGTGAGGAAGATCAGCCCTGAGCTAACATCCATGCTAATCCTCCTCTTTTTGCTGAGGAAGACCGGCT